AAAGTAAAATTCTTAATAGTATAGATAATCAAAATTAAATGAGACAATAATGCTAAGTAAAAAAAGATACAAAAGGTCACATGTTGTATCATTAAATTTGGAGGAAGTACTCAGAGAAGATAAATCCATAGAGACAGAGTGTAAATGAGGTGCCTCCAGGGGCTGGAGGAGGAGAAAATGGGGAGTGGCTGATTAATGGTGCAGGGTTTCCTTTTGGCTGCTGAAATGGGTTGGAATTAGAGGTGACAGTTGTATAACTTGTGAATGTATGAAACTATAAGTTTAAAACATTTAATTTTGAATTATCAGAGCCTCTTTCAGAAGTGAATCTTCTCCTGGGTCAGGTTCCTGGACTCTCCCTATAGCCTGGCCCCCAAATGTTCTCCATTTCCTCCTCAGAAAAAAATCCAAATGGCTTCTTGGACTTGCCAAGGGGAGAAAAATCACAGCAGAAACATATTGAGAAAGCAAAAATATGAGACAGACCAACTCAATGAACAAGCCAGTGAGAAGATTCTGAAGGCGGACATATAACAAATTCTACCAACCATTGTTTTTCAGAATAGGTAGGAATTGATGGCCCAAATCCCACATTTTTGAGCACAACATTTGCACGACCATCTCTATCCTGCACTGCTCAGGGAGACAGATGGAAAGGCACTGTGTTATTTAACCAGAGTTGAAGTGACAGAATTGAAAAGTAATAAATCAGGTCACAGAACAGATTTTCATTGCAATGAAAACCCTTCCTTGGAAAATAGTTGTACCCAAAGAATTTCATCTGAGTGCAAGCCGTGATGCATTTTCAAAGTCCACGAAATATCTGGAAAGGATTTGATGAAATGTTCAAATCCAATGCAGGATAAAGCCAGCAGGAAGAGGCCGAGAAACAAAAATCTGGTTTATGGCCATTCTGATGGAGGTGCAGATAAGTTGGGAGAGATCATCAAAGGTGGTATTTGCCAAAATCCAATTCATTACTACTTGCTTCCTGATATGGAAGATGAAGATGGGGAAGGAGAAGAGAAGAAGATGATGATGGAGGGGGAGAGGGAGAGGATTGAAAGCTACCAACAAAGAAGCTGATGAAGATGAAGGAGACGGTGACTAAGGAACATTGATGGATTTCACCCTTGTTTTTAAAAGTTTCCTCCAGTCACTGGGAGCAAGTTACAGTCTGGGTTTTGTTTTGTTTTGTTTTGTTTTACTCTTAGACTCAGTCATCCTGCTCTTGAAGTCTTTTCTCTCCCTTACATCCTGGTTCTCAACTTATTTGGGGGGAAATACCTTGAGTAGAATACAGTGGGAAAAGAATTTCTAACGCTTTCTGTTCCAAATTCACTTTTTTTTTTTTTACTTTTAGAAGTATTTTTCCATTGATTTTTAAAATTTATTTTTCTTCATTTATTAAGGTATTACATTTGTGTCCTTATCTCCCCATTGCCCTCCTATGCCCCCACTCATGCACTCACCCCCATGTTGTCTGTGTCCATTGGTTAGGCTAATATGCATGCACACAAGTCCAAATTCACTTTTATCCCTTCCTGACTCAACAAACACTGTGTGGAATCAATGCCTCTGTGCTCCATGGGAAAGAAAAACCTGCTTACTTTGCTCCACTGGAGGCTGGAGCCTCAGCCCGCGCAGTAGTGCACAGAATTCTAGCTTTTTCCCTCCTTTCTCTGTACATTGAGCACACAGATTACACTGTGTCTCTGTGAATGTGGACAGTTAGCATTTACCGACATACACCTGTCTACTTTCTCTGGTATGGAACATTTTTTAAAATTAAAATAAATGGGTTTATAGAAGGTCAAAGGGTAGATATGAGATGTTTGGGTTAGTTAAGTGGGCATTTTGACAACAAGGCTTCCCCTTTGGTATGTTTAATTGTGATGTTTAATGGACTCTCTTGCAGTTTAAGATGATACTTTTAAAATAAAATTCTCTCCTAATAGTGGCCTGAGGGTTGCAACTCAATAGGAGAAGAGGGGACCTGCAGAATCTTATTTGGAATTGTCATTCTCTATTGTAGTTTTGTTCCTGTTTATGTGATTTTTTTTTGTTTGTTTCACTGGAAAGAAAAGATAATGCTCAATTTTAAACATTAAAAATGTACCAGTTGCTTTCTATACTGAAACTAAATGTGAAGTTTACACCAGCAACAAAACAAAACAAAAAAAGAGGAATGAATGCTTACATCTCAATATCCAAACATCAGTGGCTCAAAAAATGTTTAGAACTAATACTGGGGATAGAAGAGAAGAGAGGCACAATTAGCAAAAAGCATGAGAAGCAGCCGAATAAAAATTCTAGTAAAAATGGTGTCACTAATCATGTGAGATCCAAAAGCATTTGTGACACCTGCATTGGGCTAGAAATTGTAAAAAACACCAACATGGGAACACATTCCAAAGGAACCTGGGTTTCTAGAACACCCAAATTACCCACCAGAGGCAATCTGAGAGAAATTCAACTTGATATAGGAAAAATGAAATAATGACAGAAACAGAGCCCAGAAGTTTAGATCATCTCTGTTCTACGAAACAAAGTCTTCCCTCTTGGTATGAAAATCCAGTCCTCACACTATCTGGACATGAAATTACTTTTCCCACTTTACCTCTCAATGGGTTCTAACAAATGTTCTGAATTCCACCTGTCCTTTGATGCTTACTATTATCTTCCAACTTCTCCACTTTGCCATTGTGCAACTGGAGCCTCTCTTTCCAGATTGTCTTCCACCTCCTCCTCTTTTCCTTTATTATTCCTTCCCCACTTTTTAAAAAATATATTTTATTGATTTTTTACAGAGAGGAAGGGTGAGCTATAGAGAGTTAGAAACATTTATGAGAAAGAAACATTTATCAGCTGCCTCCTGCACATCCCCCACTGGGGATGTGCCCGCAACCAAGGTACATGCCCTTGACTGGAATCGAACCCGGGACCCTTTAGTCCACAGACTGACGTTCTATTCACTGAGCCATACCGGTCAGGGCTATTCCTTCCCACTTTGCACTAGGAAAATCTATCAGACACCACTTTGTTCGTTGTCCAACCCAACGTTTACCTTTCTCTTCCCAGCCATGGGAAGGCATATGACATCTGATTAATCTGATTTTAAAAGGATTAAGTTGATGGCACAATGCACAGTTCCTTTGTGGTAGGCTGATCATGACCCACAAATATATCAGGTCCTAATCCCTAGAATATTTAAATATTACTTTTTTTGGGAAAAGGTGCTTTTGAAGATTTTATCAAGGATCTTAAAATGGAGAGATGATCGTGGATTATCCAGTTGGGCCATGAATGCCATCACAAATGTTATGATAAGAGGGAGCAGAGGAAGATTTGACACACACCCATAGAAGAGAAGGCCATGTGAAGATGGAGACAGAGATTGGAATGATGTGGCCATAAGCCAAGGTATGTTGGCAGTCACCAGAAGGAGTGGATTCTCCCCTCAGGCTTCCAAAAAGTGCAGCCCTGCCAACAGATTGATTTAACTCAGAGATACTGATCTGGGCCTTCTGGTGTCCAGAACTATAAGAGAATAAATTTCGTCTGGAAATGGAAGAAAGGTGATTAAAATAAAATTAGTATTTGAGCCTAAGAGCAGTCAAAGGAGACTAATATTATCCTTCATCCCCTCCTCCCCTTCTTGCCTTAGAGATAAACATGAGACACAGAACAACAATTGAGAAAACAAAATCCACCATGATAAAAATGACAGAGAGAGAGAAAAGAGCAAGCCCAGGATTCTCACAACATCCCTATTGGCATCAACCTAGGACTCCTTACCTACAGGTTACTGGTTGTACAAAAGAAATGTATGTCCCATCAGCTTAACCCACAGCAATCCTATATGGAACAGCTCTCCTTGACCCACTAACCAGCTTCACCTCTCCTCTCTGCTCTCTGCTAGCCCCTTCCTTCCTCATATCGCTCAAGCACACGGCCATGACTTGATACTTTCTACACAGTGTCTGCTTCACTTGCAGCAGCAAGGTTTTTGAGGACAGTGATATTTATCTATGTATCCCCAGGATCTCCCCCGGTGCAGTCACATGCCAAGCAATCAGCAAACGCCCATAAACAAATGGATGAGGTCTTGCAAAGGACATTAGGCCTGGAAGGGGTCCCATATGGCAGCATTCCTGCTTATTACAGTGTCTTTCGAACAGGCCTGACTGCACATTCTTAATGAGCAAGAATGGCATTTGCTTCAGTGCCTTGGGATCTTCAATGTAAGTAGTGAAAGGGCCATACATACCAAACACTTCATCCAGTTCATTGTCTAATTTTTTCTGGACTTCTGGATGGCAACTCAATAGGTACAAGGCCCAGTTTATTCCAGCTGCAGTTGTGTCATGGCCCTACAAATGTAAGAGAAAAAAAAAAGCTTAGAAAGCAGAGTTCTATTGAGAAGGTTAGGGATGCTAACTCTATTTTGAATTGTCTCTGGATTTGACAGCTGTGACGTGACCCCAGACAAGTTAATTTTATACAGTATGTTACCTCTGTGGGGAACAAACCAATGAAACAATCCCTTCAAAGGGGATGCCTCTGGGTACAGGGACATTTCAATATGACAGAGTCACATACTTGGTGAGAGTGGCTGGGCTGGGCTAACAGGGGGCATTCCAAGGGCATTCTGTGCGCTGGACTGTTTTTGAGGGAATAAAAGTGTGACTTTCCTGAGCCAAGTGGCCAGATCTGCATTTCTCCACAGTCCCCCATTTGTATGGTTGACTTCACCCGTACTCCAGGGAGCACATGGGTGATTCTGAGCAAGAGTCTCCACATCAAGAAGTTGATAAATTGCCCCATTTAAACCTTGATGAGTTTGAGGCAAAATACCAAACATTTTGCAGAAACGAACTCAATTATTTTTCACAGAAAATCCATGGGGGCCCGTCCGGCGTGGCTCAGTGTTTGAGTATCGACCTATGAACCAGGAGGTCATGGTTCGATTCCTGGTCATGACACATGGGGTTGTGGGCTCAATCCCCAGTAGGGGGCATGCAGGAGGCAGCTAATCAATGATTCTCTCTCATTATTGATGTTTCTGTCTCTCCCCCTCCCTTCAATAAAAATACATTTCTCTGAAATCTATAAAAATATATATATATTTAAAATCTCCATGGGATTCTTGATACTGCTATTCACATTTTAGAGATGACAAACTGAGCCCCCAAAAGATGCTAAATGACTTTCCCAGGGCCCAACAGCTTCATAGGAGGTGGAGGGAAGAGTAGGACCCTCGGAGTTTCTGATGACAAAGCAGAGTCCACATTCTTCACCTCGGGAAGCGTGGAGGATCCGGGTGAGGAGAGTCCAGATCCAATAATGATGCTCACACCCTGGATGACCTTATTCTCTGTCCATTCAGTGTCTTTAGGCATCAGCCCCTTATTTCCTGTCCTCATCTTATCAGGACATCTACATGCAAAATGGTAAGTTCTTCAGGAAAAAAATGTATTTGAAAAATAAAAGATACTATTAAAACTTTTACTGGTCCATTTACCCTATGCAACACAAGTGACCATTGTAATATTTCATCTCTTGGGCAGAAGTTCTGAAGCACTTGTTTTATCTCTAAGTGGAATTGTTGAGGACTCTTCTGCAATTTTCTGATGTTGGCATTATTGTCTTTTCTCATACTTGCAATTTCTTTACAGAAATGACCCTGAAGTCCAGACAAAAGCTGGCCCATGTCACTCAGTTGTTTAACAAAGTCATAGAGGACATGCTCTTGCTAAACAATTCTAATAGCTTCCCTTGAATTTGAAAATGAAGTTCCTGTTTTATTTTTTTCTGCGACCCAAAGGCAGAAAACACAAAGCACAGAGCCAACAAGTGCATTGGCGGAACTGCGCAGGGCAAGAATCAGCCAGACCAGGAGCCTAAAAGGCCTGGCACAGACATAGAAGTATGGAACAGATTGTCTGTTCCATCTCAGAGGGAAGGAGGGGGTGGGGGTGTGAGGGGATGGGAAGAGATCAACCAAAGAACTTGTATGCATATATGCATAACCCATGGACACAGACAATAAGGTGGTGAAGGCCTGGGGTGGAGGACAGGAGCAGGCCATAAGGGGTTATTGGGGGAAAATGGAGGACATATGTAGTACTTTTAACAATAAAGATTTTAAAAATAAATAAAATGAAATTTAAAATTAAAATAATAAAATAGAAGGCCTGGCAGCAACAGCCTGCATCCTCTTATGGAGGAGGTCAGAATATTGTAGTTATACATGCTATGCCTACTGTTTCATGGGAAGAAGGAAAAAATTAGAACTTCAAAGAATGTTAGAGATGCAAGAAAGAGATCCTTAGTTTGTTTTTTGTGTGTGTGGAAGTGAGAGGTTACTGGTGGGAGATGGATGTGTATGTGCAGGTGTGAGTATGTGTATGCATGTGTGGGTACAGGGGCCACTTCAACATCAGACACCAGCCAATATCTGTTGCACAAGAATGTGCCAGGCACGATGGTTGGTGCACATTAGAAAACGATTCACCTAGTCCTCAGAGCTGTTCTGTGAGGCCCGTGCTGTAACAGCGAGGACACAGAAGTCTCAAAAGGGAGAGGAGGTGCCTGAGAGGTCACACTAGTATAGGTCAGAGCTGGGATTTGGCCCCACAGCCCACTCTTTAGTGAATTAGTTGTCCATTTTCTGCATAATGTTTCTTTTCTATAAAGTGATCTGCTTAAAATAGAAGTTTAAAACCGCTGATATAGTTCATCTTTCCACTTTCCACACAGGGGGACTGTGTCAGAGATCTGCAATGACTGGGCCTGTCTCGTTTGGCCAGTCAGCACAGACCTGGGAGAAGTCAGGTCTGTAAACCCTTCACATCTCTTGTTTCCTGCTACAGGGCGCAGAACTTCCTCCCTGGGGAGGGACTCAACCCAGGCAGCTGCAGGCAGAGCAAACACAATGCATGAAGTCTGCCATTGAAAACTGATGGTTTTCCCTTTCTTCTATTTCCAGGATATTTCACATGCTGCCTTTTAAAACCATTTCTTAATCTTTACTTGGTAAGCCACATGTTAAGAGGTTTTCTCTTTATAATATTTAATGTAGTCACTAGTAAAATTATCTTTGCAAAAAATTCATCTTTTACCCAGCCTGTGTGGTTCAGTGGTTGAGTGTGGACCTATAAATCAGGAGGTCACGGTTCAATTCCTCATCAGGGCACATGCAGGAGGCAGCCAATCAATGATTTTTTTCTCATCATTGATGTTTCTATCTCTCTCTCCCTACCCCTTTCTCTATCTGCCTAAAAAACAATCAATAATACTATGTATTTTTAAATTTGTCTCTTTTTTTAATGTAAAGACCAGAAATTTCCTTAGAATCACAAACTGGTTAAATTCTCTACTAGAAGGAGCTGGGAAGATGGTGGCTGGCAGGATGGAGGTGAGGGAGAGGGTGTGATTGAGTGAGGAATTGACAGGGGAGTGAGTGGACATGTGTAGTGTGTGTGTGCATGAGTGAGGGACAGTTAAATCCGGCAGGAGTATCAGAAGCTGGCAGGCCAGGCTCTCCTGGACAGGGAGCCCCTACCACTGCTGAAGGCACTTCCTGGGCTGTGGGGCTCAGGCAGGGAGCCCACGCCATCTGGCTGGGGAGAGTGGCCTCCTCTAGGAACTCATGAGCACCACCACCTAGACTGACCTTGAACACGGCCCGCAACCCTGCAGCCACACCAGCCAAAGTCCTGCTGCCTCGTCCACAGACCTGCAGACCCTAGGACATCTACCTCCAAGGGCGCATGGCTCCTGTAACAGTAAGTGGGACTTACAGCTTCGCGGCTGCCAACCTCTGGACACCAAGATCACATCAGTCCAGTGCACGGGCATCCTGAATTCGCGGCCCTGGCAGATGGCTCTCTGGTGCCTCGTGAGTCACCGCTGGGTGTGCACATATCCAAATAAGGTCGCACAGCCCTGGCAGTAGAAACTCCGACTTCCCCCTTCGCGGCTGCCTGCCCACAGACACAGTGATCATGTGGTTTCAGCACACAGGTCCCCTGAGTCTGCCCCCAAGCAGGTGGCTCCAGGGTGCCTCTCTGAACCACCTCAAGGCATGACCTTGGCTGCCAGCATCCAGTCTCCATGGTAGTGCTGCTCCAGTACATGGGCCCCCTGAGCCACTGCCCTAGCTGACAGCTCCGGGGTGCCTCTGTAAGCTGCCACTGGGCACACATATCCAACCAAGGGCACACAGCTCCCAGAACAGAAACTGGGACTTCTCTCTCCCCCAGTTGGCGGCACACCATGATCTTGCAGCTCCAGCTTGTGGGCCCCACGAGCACACAGCCCCAGCAGATGGTTCCTGGGCCCCTCTGTGAGCTTCCATTGGGTGTGTGCCTCTCCAACCAAGGGCACACGGCTCCCTCAACAGGATCCATGACATCCCCTTCTGGCTGCCTACCTCTGGACACCTTGGTGAGTTACTGAGGACCCGCCTCCCTAGACAAGGTCACATTGTTTCAACCATAGACTCCGAGATTCCTACAACCTGAGCTGCTGGATCCTGAACCCCCTCATTATTCAGAGAGGGAAATCACTTTGGCCAGAGTCCCACTACCTCAACCACAGGCTACGGTACAGCTGCCCCCACCATCCCAGGCTCCAGGACCCTCATAGTGAGTTACAGAGTGACACTACCCCAGCAAGAGTCACACAACACCAGCCAAAGTCAAAGTACCTGAACCTCAGGCCCCAAGACCCCAAACTCCCTAGCCCATGCACTCTGGGAACTCATAGTGAGCACATACCAGTGAGACCTCAGGCAACCCTTTCCACAAGAGCTGGAACCACGATCACATCCACAACAGCTTGCACAATGAAACTGGGGGTGAGTCACATTGCCAATCCATGACGAGACTTCATCCAAGTTTAATAAACTAACATTCAAGACCCAACTACATCAAGAGAACTCAAATAGCTCAAGTAGTAGGCTCCACTAGATCACCAAGCTCAGGAGAACTGAGAGACTGCACCACTGGGTCCCAAAAATCATCAGCTACATAGCACCACCCCCAAAACAACCTGGGTAGCAAAGCAGTTTGATCTAAGACATAGAAACAATTAAAACATTACAGCAAAAAATGGGGAGACATAAAAACAATCCCCAAAGGAAAGAAATAAAGGAATCACCAGAAAGGGAATTAAATGAAATGGAGGCAAGTAACTTATCAGAGAAAGAATTCAGAGTGATGGTTATAAGGATGCTCAAACATCTGGATGATAAATACACACAATTCAATGAGAATTATAAGAAGCTGACTAAGAATGTCACCAACATGAAAAGGAATCAAGAGGAAATGAAGAATGACCTAGCTGCAATAAAGAACACAAAGGAAGGCTTCAACAGCAGACTTGAAGAGGCTGAGTACAACATCAGCAAATTAGAAGACAAGGTAGGAAAAAACACACAAACACAGCAGCAACCGGAAAAAGAAAAAAAACTTAAAAAGCAGGAGGTGAGCCTAAGGGAGCTTTGGGACAACAAGAAACGAAACATCTGCATAATAGGGGTGCGAGAAGGAGAGGAGGTAGAGAAAGGAATAGAAAACCAGTTTGAAGAAATAATGACAGAAAACTTCCCTGATGTTGGGAAGAAAAAAAACCCATACAGGTCTACAGCTTTTTCTGAAGAAGAAAGTTGATCTGGTATTTATAGGGTCTTAAACTTTGTATTTTCTAACTACAATATAATGACTCTTCATCAGTTATAACAAGCTACTTCAAAATGTGATCAGACTTTTAAAAAATGCTAAAAACTTTTTAAAAGAATTCCTATAAATTGATTATTTTTAAGTTAAAAATAAATTGAGAAGAGATCATCATACCAAGGATCCCAAAATATTTTAAAAGCAGGCTACAAATAATCCTTGCTATTTCATGTTATTTCTAATTTTACTATTAAATGCTTAAACATGTCTAAGTATTAGTGCTGGCTATTTCTTCATCCTTAGCTGTTTTAACTCCCAATATTAATTTTTAAAAAAATCATTTTCTTGTTATATAACAGGAACTGTAATTTGTTTAATGATGATACCTGAGACTAACATGACAATGCAACATACCTCAAACATAAAAGTGTCCACTTCTTCTCGAATTGCCTCAAGGCTGAGCTTGTTCCCTTCATCATCCATCACATTTACAAGCAGGTCGAGAAAAGCCTTGCGTTTTCTATTGGAGAGGGTCGTGCCTTTGTCATCACTTTTACATTCTTCATCTCTCTTTATTTCATTGGCCCGTTCATTGATGACCTGTATGAATGAAATGATCACATGCTTTTGTGTGGAATTTGATATGGCCTAATAATCCATTTTCCTGTGAAAATATACTAGCTTCTTTGACTGATTTTTTCTAAGCCGTTCCTGTTCTGTCTGACTCAACAGGAACTTAGGTTTTTTGAAAATATAGTAAAGCTTTCTATGAGCATTTTTAGGGCGTTATTTGATAAGATTTTTAAAAACAAATATAATGTCAGACAAATACATCATTTCTAAGGACTATTTTTACAGCCTTTCCAACATGCGAATAGAGTAGTAGTCTCCTGAATAGGGCCCAGCGAGTTGAAAGAGCTCATGAGAAAAAGTTGGGGTGGTGGAGAGAACACAATCTATAGAATAAAAACCCAATGGTCTTAAAGCCATAACGACAAAGACCGGTTACCAGGAGGTGCCTTGATGCTGTGTCCCACGGCACCAGCGGGACTTGACTCTGGGTCCCAGGGCACACTGGTTCTGGCTCTCGCGCAATCTCCCATGCTGGGCCCCTAGTCATTATATAATAAATTAATTATAGATCATTCTAATTACATGTTGTATTGGAGAAAAGAATCACCATGTATGCTTGCCACTCCTTCTGCTAGAATATTCTTGCCTCAGAAGCCAGCATGACTAGCTTCCACCCTAGTTTTAGAGCTCTGCTGCCCCATGTCACACTGTCAGGGTCACTGCTACCCTACTCCCTAGCACTCACTCTCTTCCTAAGCCTACTTTACCTTTTTTCCATTTCACTTACCACCTGGCATTGTATTTGTTATTTAGTTACTTTTGCCTCCAACTTTAATGTAGCAGAAAATTTGACTTTATTCATTGACATTTTTCTAACCTTTAGAACACTGTGTGGCATTTTAAAAATGTTCATCAGGTATGTTTTGAATGAATAAAAAAATGAAAGCCCCTGAGCTTAATTTGGTTACACATTTCTACTTTCTCCTCCTTTCAAGCAATTGTCCAAACCTGCTTCTGCTTTGAATGAACAGACCCCAAGTTCCGTACAGACAAGCACCATGTCCTCTCTTTGATTCTTGGTGTAACCCCTAGTGCCTGGCACTCAGTGTGCAATTTTTGATATTATCCATCCAGTTTGGAATTCATTCATTATTGATACTGATATTAATGCATGAAATTTGAAGACAAGTGTAATTATCCCCATAAAATACAAACTGTTCACCGTTCACCTCTGGCCAGGCAATTATGCTATACTCCACTGAGGGCAGCTCACCCCAACATCTCATTCATCTAGCATCTAGGGACTCTAACAACTTGATCTGTTGGTGGAGGCAGTACCTCATGGTCAGGAAGCAAGGCCATCATGTTTTAAACTAAAATTTACAGCAAAGGATAAATATAATTACTTGGCCACTTTTATCTGTACATTTAAATTATAATGCATGTTTTCAATTAAAGTTTGCCTTTAATATACATAATTTTAACACAAAGACAGACTATATCCAGAACATTACTATTTCCTTGTCATTAAAAATTAAATAGTAATATCTAGTTAATTTTTATCTTTTCCAGTTTAAGGTACTGCTATAAATGCCCTTTGTCTTTGAAAACCATTGCCTAATCCAAACATTTTTCAGAATATTCTTATAACACAGAAACCTGTATCTTTATTCCCTTAGCATAGCACCCATTTTGTTAATAAACTACCATCGCTCATATCACATTTTGGAATTATTTATTTATAGACAACTTCCCCCAATAGATTAACCTCCCTCAGTAGGGAACATTAATGACTGGGCATGTTAACAAACATAGGAGTCATGCACTTATAAAAGTTGTAGAAAGTGATAGTGGTAGAGGTTGCACAACATTGTTAATGCCCCTAATGCCACTGAATGGCACACTTAAAATGGCTATTATGATAAATTTTATGTTATGTATGTGTGACCACAATAAAAAAAATGAGGACTTACATTGGTGGTAAAATTATGTAAGATCTTTAGGTTCCTTCTGTGGTCCCATCCTTCTTTAAACAAAAGGTACAAAACGTCATGCCAAAACCAAATCTTCTTGATTCTTCGATGTATCAAGTCACTCATCCTATAAACAGGATGCAAATGTATCAGCTGATATATCAAAATGTGCATTGCTTGTGTACCTATTTGGTGCCTGGCCTCAATGAGGATAATATGTGGCAACGATAATAATTCGTCTTAGTGGCTACTTAGAGCTCTATGCTTTATGCTCAAAAATGAAGGCATGGTTTATTACACATCCAAGGAAGCTTAAAAATTAAATGGGTCCTTTAGAAAATGAAGAATGCATTGCAAAACATCCTTACTAGATGGCCATCTGATCTCTCCTTCTGTTTCTCCAGGAAGAGTTCCGGACCTCCCTGAGCTGCCTGTACCTCTTATACCACAGGGTGGGATGAAATCTGCCTGTTTAATGTCCACGCATTTGCTTGATTACTCCTCTGGCTGTCCTCCTCTCCAGTAAAGTGCCCCCCTGTCACATCATTGTCCCGAGTCCCTCCCTCAACATTTCCAGTGATGTAGTAGAGAGACCTAGACATGATCTCCTTTGAGAGCAGCTTACAGGCCAATTCTGCAGAGTGGCCTTTCCTGGTCACTCAATCTGTGGGCCCTATTGCTGTTTTCTTCTCGAATATCAACTTTACTTTTTCTTTCTAAGCAATTATTATAGTTTATAAGTTTATACTTATTTGTTTCAATGCTTGTCTCCCTATTATTCTGTACTGTGGACCACTATAAAATTAGTCAGTATCTTGTGTAATGAATGGCAGATTATATTCTATATAATAAAAGCCTTACATGTTGAATGTCTCATCGTGCAGTCGGCCATTCAACCAATCAAAGTTTAATATGCTAATGATATGCTACGGCCGCTCAACCACTTGCTATGACATGCACTGACCAACAGGGTCAGATACTCCAACTGGTACGTTAGCTTGCTGCTGGTGTCCATCCAAATGGGACTGAGCAAGATGGGCCAGACATGCCCAGGAGCCCTCCTGGGGTCCCTTCCTGGCTGGCCAACATCCCGCATCTCTCCCTGGCCTCGAGCATGCAGCAGTGGTGTCCCTTGGCCTGGCCTGTGCTATCTTGCAATCTGGACAAGGGAACCACCCCACCCCAGGTGCACGAATTTCATGCACTGGGCCTCTAGTAATTTAATATGTGTTAAAATTAAATGGGCAGTGGACTTAAAGACAGAATTCCTCAAATCAAACCCTGGCCCTGCCTTTAATACTGGAATAATCTCAAGCAATTTTTCAAAGTAAATGTGATTATTTCAATTAAAAAATAATACATACTTAGTGCAGAAAATATGGGAAGAAATAATTAATAACAACTCAAACAAGAAAGAGAAGCACATAACACAAAACAATAATCACAGCTAACATTCTATAATGATATCTACAAGTTTTTTTTAATGAAAATTTTTTTATACCTAGTGGTTATCATGCTAAAAATATTGTCTTTATCTTTATCTTATTAATAATCATCATAATGTAATTTCTCAACATATCATAAAATAATCATTTAAAATTATACCAGAGCCTGGCTGTGCCATAATTTTTACAATAAATCCTCTACTGTTAAAATACATGCATATATAATTAGGTTTATTTTTAGTGCAATATTTCATTTTGAAACAATGAAAAAGGTACAAGACAAACCAAAAATTACTAGCAATATTTTTTAAAGCTTAAATTTGTAACAATTTAAAAAATAATTAGAAGGGCTCCATTTACCTATAAACTGCACGGACATACTCAGAATCATCATTAGTCTGAGCATCAATATTCCTGCCCATAGCCGTTTCTGCAAAATATGGGTGAGAAGCAACCATTCAATTCTTGCACATGCCTTGTGTTTATTTTCCAGTGGCAAACACTTGAAAAAAGACATAAATTCTTATATATTTTAGAATTGTTCCTTTCCCCTTTCACTCTTGCACCTTTTGTTTCTCCTACTCCCTGTTCATGCTCCTTCTTCCCTCTGACCTTCCTGGCAGGTTGGCTCTTCTGCTTAAACTAGCAGGGGGTAATGCTTTTCAGGAGACTAATTTAGCAGAAGGACCGCCCCAAAGAAGCCAATATCCTTTCTAACCCCTTCATTTGCATGCCCAGTGGAATGTTATTTTCTATTTGGACCATTGTATGTTTACACCATAGTTCTAGAAACAAATCCATGAGACTTACCACAGATTATATCTAAGGCACAAAGAGTGATGTAAAAAAAGCAGTTAAATTTTTCTCCATCAACATGTTTTTCAAGCTTATTAACCAATATGTTGGCTTGTTCATTCATGACACCTAAGAAGTCTTCCAGAATGGTAAAATGGAAAGTGGGTGTTAACATTTTTCTCCTGGAGCGCCATTTGTTTCCAGTACTAGAAATACAAGACATGGTTACAAAGAAGAGAAAAGCAACATCCAAAGCAA